GTTGTCTTCTGTTGTCGGTCTCTCTCTCTCTCTCTCTTTCTCTCTCCTCTCTCTCTCTCTCTCTCTTTTCTCTCTCTCTCTCTCTCTCTCTCTCTCTCTCTCTCTCTTCTCTCTAGTTCTCGCTCAAGCTATCTTATTATCTCTCTTTCTCTCTCGCTCTTTATGTCTGTCTCCTGCACACGCTTTCTCTTTGTATTGACCAATTACATTCAGTTCGGGCACAGCATAACTTCCTATGGACCACAGTGGACAGGCTGGGGTTAACGTCATGACAATGCCATTCGTGTGAATGATGATTGGAAGTCTTGCTTCCGAAAAACTGCAATGGAGGAGCGTACGGTTCTTGTTGAAGCAAAGGTACACAAGCGGCACTCGAATTACAATTAGCTACTGTTAAAAGGCGGCAGCTCGCACTGCGGCAACAGATGCCAAATGTTGGCTTTGTTCATTTCGCTTGTCGAATTTGATAGATAGCTGAACAGAACGTTTACTCAACAGCGTTGCATTTCTACGCCTCGAAATATTAGACTGGCGTCAAGCATTTCAGTCTAGGCTTTGAGATCGTACACATTTTCCTCGTTTTTATCCACTTTGCTCGCTTGTAAAGGTTTTACTATTAGAACTACGCCACTGTTCCTTCCGTTCGCCTTGACGTCGTTTGTATATTATCACACCTGCCTCTGTCTGTGTATAGTCTATTTTGAATTCCATTTCCCGCCGGACTTGTGAGCCTGTACATATTTCCTTTTGTCCTTACTCTGTATGACGAACGTTGAGAGTCAGACTAGCTCATTGTGGTCAAGCTTACTATGTGCAAACAGCAAAAGTAAATAGTAAACAAACAGCGTAAAGGCCATTATTTCAATTTCGTTAATTTCGCCTACGATCTAATCTCATCTCAGTTAGTGGTAATTAATTAAATTGGTGCAGATTTGCAAGCTGTCCACACAGTCTCGTGCTTTTGCAAGAACCACTGATCTTTTGTTCGTAGTTTTTACCGGTCCGTGGTAGATTGACGATTAGTCAATGCCATGTATCATTCCATTCGTTTAGCAATATTCATTCGTCCAATTAGACACATTTACATCGTCGGATGAATCGCTATTTATTTTTATTATATTAGTTATATTATATTATACGTGTTTACGTGGCTGTAACTTTTTTTACAACGTACAGAACTACAATGAACTTGATGAGCTTTTGCGTATTTAAAAACCGTGCTGTCGAAACTGCCAATCACGATTACGTAATAAACCAACGATACACATATAGTTATAAATAATACATAATATATGTCCCCAAAACCACCCACTACCGGCCTCTCTCGCACGCCGTTCTCTTTTGAAGTTATACTTCTCGCTCTTTTTTTTTCTCCTTCCCCCACCTCTCTCTCTATCTATCTACCTATCTATCTATCTATTTATCTATCCATCCATCTATCTATCTATCTATTTATCTATCCATCTATCTATCTATATATTTATCTATCTATCATAAATCATAAATGCACCTCGCCTATATCTTCTCTCCTCGATCCTATCCTCTTCATTCTTCTATTTTCATTTCGCTCGCGCGCGCGCGCACACACACACACACACACACACACACATACACACACACACACACATACACACACACACACACACACACACACACACACACACACATCACACACACACACGACACACACACTACACACACACACACACACATGCACACACGCCACACGCGCGCGTAGGTACAGACACTGTGCGCGCCCGCATAAACATACACACGTGCGCGTCATACACTTACACACATATACCACACACATACGCTCCGTCTCTTTCTTTCCTCATTTCCTATACCGCTTACACTTTGTCACACTTTCACAAGTACCAACATCGAACCATTTCCTTGCATCCGCGCCTGTGCGATTTCAAACGGCAATTTTCTAGCAAACGCCGCGTGGTCTCCCCTTGTAATCGCCACATGAACAAATAGCAGAAATGTATCGCGAAGGTGATTATACCGCTGTCCTCATTCCTATCGAACAATCGTGAAATGTAGTAGTGCCGATTATAGGAGGCCACTAGGCATGGCCCCTCGCGTGCCCTCGGCAAACAACGAACAATGGAAATAATATTGGCATGACAAGTAATCGAAAATTCAGAGTGCGTCTGGAAACGCAAATGTCTTTATTAGGAGTAGTTCTATAATTTTAGCGAACGCGTTGCAATTTTAACGAGCCCTGACGATTTATATATTATATATATATATATATATATTATATTATATATATTATATATGTGATGTGTGTCACTGTGTGTGTTGGTGTGTGTTGTGGTGTGTGGTGCGCGCGCTGTGCGTGTGGCGTGTGCGTGTGCGTGTGGTGTCGGCGTCGTGCTGACGCGGGTGTGCGTGCCTGTCTACGTGTATGTGTAGTTGTGGTGGTGTGTGTGTGTGTGTTGTGTGCTGGTGCTGCGTGTGTGTGTGTTGTGTGTTCGTGTCTGCGTTCGTGCGTGTCGCCGTGTGCAGCGGTGTTGTGTACGCTGCGTGCGTTGCGATGCGTGGGTTGCGTGGTGCGTGCTGTCTGGTGTGTGTGTGTGTGTGTTGTGTAAAGTCTGTTGTGTGAAATGTGTGTCGTGTGTGTCGTGTGGTTGTGAGTGTGCGTGCTGCGTGTGGTGCTACGTGCCGTGCAGGCGTGGCTGCTGTGTGGTGTGTGTACGTGCGCCTGCGTGCGTGCGTGGCTGCTGTCGGTGCATGCGTGCGTGCGCACGCAGCGCGCGCCGGCGTGTTGTGTGTGTGTGTGTGCGTCGCGCGTGTGGCTGATGTGTCTGTACCGTGTGCGTGTGCGTCGCGGTGCGTGTGCGTGTGCGGGCCTGTGTTGTCTTGTACCGGTGTCTGTATGGTGTCGTGCGTGCTGTTGCGTCGCGCCTTGCTGTGCGTTCGTTGCGTGCTGTGTGTGTGTGTGTGCCGTTGCAGTCGCGGGAGCGCGGCGCGTTGTGTCTATGATAGCATATGTGCCGATGTTTTCATTATTCATTATTAATAATATTTCTTACTATACGACTGACGGATTTTGCAAGCGTGAATTTAAGGGCCATGGCGATATTCTCTAGGCACGCTTTGATTGCATTGCAATAATAAGTAACATACAACATATTACATAAAAGAATTGTGCATGCGAAGGCTGGATAGAAATTTTTTTATGCTTGTGCGTGAATGCCGTTAGTAGATTATGTTATTACATCACTTAATGATGAACGACAAAATACATCGACAGTGTAAATAAACGCTCGGCAATATCTGGTTACGGCGTGTTATAACTGATAGCTGTGTACATATATCCTCCCTTCTATTATGAAGAATATAACCACGCTTCTTTTTCTCAGAGAATTATATTTGAAAACGACATATCGGCTTAGTAAGGTCTACGCCGTTAAATATTTCATATCAGCACACGCTGTAACAAACTTACTTTACGTCTTGAACCGTTATTGAACATCCATATAATCATACGTAATGTAATTTACTTTATATAGACAGCCAATTCGAGATACCAATAATTTTGCCGTCGCTTGCGTATGTTATCAAAGATTTATATAACATATTAAAACGCATTCAGTAGATGTTATATTTAACAAATACAAAAATATAAAAACAAGTTTATATTTAACGAATACAAAAATTATAAAAATTCCCATTGTGGTTGCCATCGGAACGTTTATTTCGTTGCAGTAATAGATAACAAGCGTGAGTGTGTGTGTGTGTGTGTGTGTGTGTGTGTGTGTGCGTGCGTGCGTGCGTGCGTGCGTGCGTGCGTGCGTGCGTGCGTGCGTGCGTGCGTGCGTGCGTGCGTGCGTGCGTGCGTGCGTGCGTGCATGCGTGCGTGTGTTAGTAATTGGTATAGCTACAGATCCTTCTTATTCTCCGTCTGATTCAGTGCTCATATTAATAACATTAAACTCATTTTATAGTATCTACTTCCAATGTTAAGTAGTTAAATGACAACATCCTGCAATAACTAATCCTCCGTAATTTCGTATACATGTTTATATGTTTCTACTCATCTGTGCCTATATACTATTCATATTATACATTACATAGTATATAGCTATGTTCGCGGTGACGTATACGTTTGCTTGTTGCAATTTCTGTCGGCTCTGGGTTCTCTGCAGAACACAAGCAAATTGAAAAGCGCGGCGTGTAGGCCTATACATTCATGACACCTGACATGAACCGCATTTGTACTAGCAGAGCTGTCTACAGTCTAGCGATGCAAGTCTACAAACGAGGCCGTCTCTTTGTGTCGTATATACCGCATTGCAACCGCGCGCAACCATAGTTAGTTTCATAAAAAAATTAAAAATGATGTCGGACTGCCATCTGTTGGTGAAATTATAATTTTATAGTGGCATCTCACACAAAATATTCGTAAGCTACAGCCTTGAAAATACGTTTTGATATGGCCGGAAAATGTTTTTTGAAAATATCACCGTGTTATACCCTCCATAACTCAGCATTTGCGTACTGATGAATGGCAATTGTATCGAGTACATAGCTCAATTTAAAATGGCTATATAAAATGCATACCGCTGGTACATAGCTATATATTATACCTGTAACTCTATTAAAAATGGCAAAAATGTTTTATATAGCTCCTTTGATAAATGGTACTACTACTAGAAAACTATATATCTATTTCAATGGTACTATAGCCATAGAAATAGATAGAGGTCCTAGGTGTCTGTTGTCACAATAGCTAGTAATAGTATTATATACAGTACTATGTTTCATATTATAATAGTTTTACGGTACGGTACTGGCAATGATTTTTTATTTATTTTATTTATTTATTTATTTCGATACTACTATTTATTTCGATACTACTATTTATTTCGATACTACTATTTATTTCGATACTACTATTTACTAAAGCATACATTACATCGATAACAGCATGAAAATTGATTGATGGGGTGGCAGCACTAAACGGACGCGGGTAATGCGCCGCGTATCCGCCGACAGCAGCGCCGAATGGCGGGAAATGTTGTTGTGTTATGACATTTGCTTTGTCATTATAATGTATGTTCCGGATATTTTTGCATGTTTATACATTTATAGACTTCCACAGTTGTATAATAGACTTATACATAGTGCAACACATTGATTCAATGGTGACGCATTCGTATCTGCCTGTGCAATCTTAGCCAATCTACTGTCTGACCGCCACTTAGCTCTAGTACTACTACTACTAGTACTAGTACTACTACTAGTAGTAGTATAGCCCGCGTACAGTTGCCACTGGCGCAGCGCCCAGCGGCCACTGTACGCGGGCTATAGTACAAGAGCTAACCGCCACTGTGCCAGGCCTACTGCTCATAGGGCCTATGTCCCCCAGGATACTGCCGGAACGTACCCTGGGTACCGTCCGGTATACCGGAACGTACCCTAGTCACTATTTGATACACAGTGGCTACCGGTATATGCCCGGCAGCCGGCGTATATCTGACGGCTGCCGCGGGCA